TAAAGCCCATTATAAACGAGGCATTTGTTGCATCCAGTGGGGACATAATTACTGATTATAATGACTTATACTGTGTTTTTACGCTTTGCGTTGCGTATTGTGCCGTGTAAACATAAAACCATGTCTGCATTTGTGATCGGAGAAATGACAAACAACAAGCGCTACTCTACACTGCTCAAAACTTGCGTTTGAATCATCAGTGGCAAATTCTTTAAATGAAAACGTACTTACGTGAGTCAGAACTGCCGGCATTTTAGTCTAACGTAACTCTCCCAGGATCAGTAAACAGTCCTCCATAAAATGTGCTGCACACATCTGGATATTTGGGTTGAAGTGTTCTGGAACAGTGTTGTAAATACAACTTAACCACTGATTTCTAGTCGTGTCCTCTTTTGGAAGGCCAAACAAAGTAGTTTCGCTTTCACAACGAAACACAGCGTCACACACGGCGGGCTTGAGTGAGCGGCGGCCGGCGTATTCGACGAAGGAGCGTCCGGCGGGCTTGTGGCAACCACATGTGACGACCCCAGGCTGGACTTCGTTTCGTCCACGGTGAAAGCCGATCCGTGTATTTCCTCAGCGATCAGCACGGATCAGCTCCAGGCATGACGAAGCAGATATCGTCTTCTTTTGGAAGACCAAACAAAGTAGTTTTGCTTTCACAACGAAACACACAGCGTCTCGACATGGCGGCATCAATACTACAGCGAGAATAAAAGTTATGCTTTCTTTCTTTGCGTGAACATTTGGGCGTTGTTATGCAAATCTTCCCACATAGTGATGTAGGTATGTGGGGGCGTGTTAGAACGAGCCGTTTTAGGTAGGCGTGGTTGACTGTTAACTTTTATAAAGAATATCTCTTTGGATTTGAGACTTTAGTCTTTGCAACTTTACAGATCTTCTTTATGCACCAAGAGCTTGTAACACTCCAAAGAGAAAGGAAAAATTTAAATCGCATCATATGACCCCTTTAAATATGGCGATACTATGTTCTTTGACATGCACCTTGTTTTTGCAAAGTGTTGATGTTAAATTAATTGCCTTTGCATGAATATAGTTTGACATTGCTCTTCAATGGCCTGGCCATTAATGTCTCACCTTGAGCTCCATGTCTTTCAGCTTCAGCTCCAGCCCAGAGTGTAAGTTGCTCACTTCCTGTTGGAGTTTCAGGATGTCCTGCCATCCAGCAGCACTAATGTCTGATGAAAGTTTAGCAATGCTAGCATCACATCTAAGGCAAAAAGAAATTTAAACAACTTTATATTCCATAATTTTGTCAACATTTTTATCTAAAACTTTTTTTAAAATGTAAACTCTTTTGTACATATTTTACAAAAGTATATCATCAAAATAACCCTTTGGATATATTTAATTGATTTTCAATAAACAGTCTGTTTAGTCTGTCTACTCTTTATTTAACGTGACCTTTATTTTAAGAAAACAAAAATCTTTTTCATAAAGTTACTTTTGGTGTTTTTGTATTGCAGTCATACAACTGCCATTAAAACACTTTTTGCTAAATTTTTGCTTTTCAACTGGAAAACTCTTCTTCAGTTGCATTGTGCAGCAATAACATCAACATTTTCATGTTTTTAAAAGTTAATTATCAGAAATAAAATATTTATACATTATAATTATAAGGTCATAGAAACTATTTAAAGTAACAGTTAGTAGCAGCTACTTCAAGTAAAAACATAAAATAGTTTTTTTCATACAAGATACAAAGACATTTTTCCTAAATGTTCCTTACAAATAAAACAAAACAAAATTGTGGAGCATTTATGGAACTGTAAAGATTGAAGTTTGATCTTTTGAAATAAAATAAAATAACAAAATAAAATAACAAAATAAAATAAAATAATTGTGTATTTCTATCTATTTCTATCTCTATCTATTTCCACATTCATTTCTATATAAATATTAGGCTTTTTTGAATAAACAAAAGCCAAGAAGACATCTCTCTAATAAGTTAACAAGTTAACAACTAAGCTAGTTGTTTGGAAATATGCATTCTTACTGTCACATTTATTTTCAGTTAGTTTCAGTGTCATGGACTTTTAGTTTGTATTCATTAGTTCTGTTCTGTTAAGCTGTTTCTATTATTTACCTCATTCGTTGTGCTCCTAGTTCCTGCATTTCCTCAGTTCAGTGTCTGGTCACATTTGCGTTTTGGAGTGTTTACTGCTGCCTTTGTGTACTAATATTATTAAAGATTCATTTTGGAACTTCTTCTGTATGTGCACACACTTGTGACAGTTACACATGAGTGATCATTTTATTTTAAGCCTCATTGTTATAAAACATAATTAGCAACACAATCATAATCATTTATGAATCACTCATAGTATTGTGAAATAACAGCCTAGTCTTTGAGTTCATGGTCATGTATTTAAAATGATGACTGTTTTTGGTGCAAAAATAGTTAACTGTATAAGTGGACCTCAGGGAAAATAAAATGGGAAAAAAAATCTAAGCAAAATGAGAAATTATTGTTTAATTCATCTTGTTTCTTTAAAATAAAATAAAATAAAATAAAATTAAATAATTTGGACCTCTAAATAAAATCTTGGTGTAAATTGTGACCTTGCCACTCTGCCTCTGAGATCCCCAATACCCGTCATGTTCTTGTGATCCAAGCTCTTGACTGCAAAAGTTGTCCCTGCAGCAAGGTTGTCTCTCTCAATAATCTGGGCTTCCAGCACCTGGGGAGACAGAAGATTGTTCTGTCTTCACGGTCATATAACAGTGTGATTGCTCATATCAGCAGTCACTCACTGTAATCACAGTTTGACAGACTTCAGTATTTTTCCATTAAAATGCTGGAGTAATTATTAGAAGGATCTTGTTTTTTTCTTTCTTTTTTTAAATAGCTTCTAAATTGGATAATGTACCTCGAGTACATATTTTATAATTGTAGAGGGAAAGACAAAAGTGGTTCAGCCCAAGCAATTAGGCCTAGCATATTCGTATTTTTTTCCGTTGCTAAACAAGCCTGTGTTTCCTGGTTACGTCATTACTTTTCAGGGACAAAAAAAAAAAGCCTCATTCTGGCTATGGTAGGAGCTTTGATTTATTTGATTCATTCATTTTTTATGCACATATTCTGCATAATGTATCCCATCAGGTAAATGGCTCTGCTGGCCGGCATATTTTGTCAAATTGTACCTCGCTCATCAAACATTGTTACATTTTTGCTTTCACATTAACAGTAAATGGAAAACTTTGAGATGCTTTGATTATTGATCTAACTGTCAATCAGTGTAATTAGTTCAGACCTTTCTGAACATCGAAGTAAACACAACGAACCCCTTTCACATTTCCAGGGTACTCAGAAGCAGAAGTCATCATAGTTGGGTAAACTTTTATAGTGGTAAATGGAAAATACAGCAAATATATTGTAAATATATTTTAAAATATATAATATAAAATATATTTAATAATATGACATAACATAACATAACATAACATAACATAACATAACATAATATAACATAACATAACATAATATAATATATAACATTTTGCACCTGGATGTTTTTGCTAGGCTGTTTGACTGATGGGCATTCACATTCTTATAGATTATTAATTTTCATTTTATAATATAATATAA